TGGTAGATTTATTTGTGTGGTTTTTGTGTGGTTTCTTTTATTTTGTGTAGTCTTTAATTTTGTGTGGTAGATATTTTTGTGTGGTAGTCTTTTTTTTATTTGTGTGGTAGATAATTTGTGTGTAGGTAGATAATCTTTTATTTGTGTGGTAGTCTTAATTTGTGTGGTAGATAATTTGTGTGGTAGATAATTTGTGTGGTAGTCTTTTATTTGTGTGGTAGATAATTTGTGTGGTAGTCTTTTATTTGTGTGGTAGATAATTTGTGTGGTAGTCTTTTATTTGTGTGGTAGTCTTTTATTTGTGTGGTAGATAATTTGTGTGGTAGATAATTTGTGTGGTAGATAATTTGTGTGGTAGATATTTGTGTGGTAGATAATTTGTGTGGTATTATTTGTGTGGTAGTAATTTGTGTGGTAGTCTTTTATTTGTGTGGTAGATTTATTTGTGTGGTAGATAATTTGTGTAGTCTTTATTTGTGTGGTAGATAATTTGTGTGGTAGATTTTTTGTGTGGTAGATTTTTTGTGGTAGATCTTTTATTTTGTGGTGGTAGATAATTTGTGTGGTAGTCTTTTATTTGTGTTTATTTGTGTGGTAGATAATTTGTGTGGTAGTCTTTAATTTGTGTGGTAGATAATTTGTGTGGTAGATAATTTTATTTGTGTGGTAGATAATTTGTGTGGTAGATATTTGTGTGTAGTAATTTGTGTGGTAGATCTTTTTGTGTGGTAGATAATTTGTGTGGTAGATAATTTGTGTGGTAGATAATTTGTGTGGTAGTCTTTTATTTGTGTGGTAGATAATTTGTGTGGTAGATAATTTGTGTGGTAGATAATTTGTGTGGTAGTCTTTTATTTGTGTGGTAGATAATTTGTGTGGTAGATAATTTGTGTGGTAGATAATTTGTGTGGTAGATAATTTGTGTGGTAGATAATTTGTGTGGTAGATAATTTGTGTGGTAGATAATTTGTGTGGTAGTCTTTTATTTGTGTGGTAGATAATTTGTGTGGTAGATAATTTGTGTGGTAGATAATTTGTGTGGTAGATAATTTGTGTGGTAGATAATTTGTGTGGTAGATAATTTGTGTGGTAGATCCTTTGTGGTAGATTATTTGTGTGGTAGATAATTTGTGTGGTAGATAATTTGTGTTAGATAATTTGTGTGGTAGATAATTTGTGTGGTAGATAATTTGTGTGGTTTATTTGTGTGGTAGATAATTTGTGTGGTAGATAATTTGTGTATTTGTGTGGTAGATAATTTGTGTGGTAGTTTGTTTTATTTGTGTGGTAGATAATTGTGTGTGTGTGGTCCTTTATTTGTGTGGTAGATAATTTGTGTGGTAGTCTTTTATTTGTGTGGTAGTCTTTTATTTGTGTGGTAGTCTTTTATTTGTGTGGTAGTCTTTTATTTGTGTGGTAGTCTTTTATTTGTGTGGTAGTCTTTTATTTGTGTGGTAGATAATTTGTGTGGTAGGTCCTTTATTTGTGTGGTAGATAATTTGTGTGGTAGGTGCTTTATTTGTGTGGTAGGTCCTTTATTTGTGTGTGGTAGATAATTTGTGTGGTAGGTCTTTTATTGTGTGTAGGTGTGTGGTAGTCTTTTATTTGTGTGGTATTTAGTCCTTTGTTGGTCCTTTATTTGTGTGGTAGATAATTTGTGTGGTAGGTGCTTTATTTGTGTGGTAGGTCCTTTATTTGTGTGGTAGATAATTTGTGTGGTAGGTCCTTTATTTGTGTGGTAGATAATTTGTGTGGTAGGTCCTTTATTTGTGTGGTAGGTGCTTTATTTGTGTGGTAGGTGCTTTATTTGTGTGGTAGATAATTTGTGTGGTAGGTGCTTTATTTGTGTGGTAGATAATTTGTGTGGTAGGTGCTTTATTTGTGCGGTAGATAATTTGTGTGGTAGGTGCTTTATTTGTGTGGGTATTTGTGTTATATTTGTGTGGGTATTTGTGTGTGTGTGGTAGATAATTTGTGTGGTAGATAATTTGTGTGGTAGGTGCTTTATTTGTGCTGTAGATAATTTGTGTGGTAGATAATTTGTGTGGTAGGTGCTTTATTTGTGTGGTAGGTCCTTTATTTGTGTGGTAGATAATTTGTGTGGTAGGTGCTTTATTTGTGTGGTAGGTCCTTTATTTGTGTGGTAGATAATTTGTGTGGTAGGTGCTTTATTTGTGTGGTAGATAATTTGTGTGGTAGGTCCTTTATTTGTGCGGTAGATAATTTTTCACCAGTTGTTGAGTCACTGGTTGCTTAAGTGTCTGCATGAGTCATTGGGTATTTGAGTGTCTGTATGAATCACTGGTTGCTTGAGTGTCTGCATGAGTCACCAGTTGTTTAAGTGTCTGCATGAGTCAGCAGTTGTTTAAGTGTCTGCATGAGTCAGCAGTTGTTTAAGTGTCTGCATGAGTCAGCAGTTGTTTAAGTGTCTGCATGAGTCACCAGTTGTTTAAGTGTCTGCATGAGTCAGCAGTTGTTTAAGTGTCTGCATGAGTCACCAGTTGTTTAAGTGTCTGCATGAGTCAGCAGTTGTTTAAGTGTCTGCATGAGTCACCAGTTGTTTAAGTGTCTGCATGAGTCAGCAGTTGTTTAAGTGTCTGCATGAGTCACCAGTTGTTTAAGTGTCTGCATGAGTCAGCAGTTGTTTAAGTGTCTGCATGAGTCACCAGTTGTTTAAGTGTCTGCATGAGTCAGCAGTTGTTTAAGTGTCTGCATGAGTCAGCAGTTGTTTAAATTTAGTAATCACAAAGTATAGCACCAGTACACATATTCAGTTCCATCTCCAACTGAGTTGAGACTATAGTTGAACCATCCCCTTACAGGTTTCAGGGACCCCATTGCAGGGAAAACAAGAATAGATTTACTGTCTCCACTATAAGCATGTCATAGGAGTAGACTGGGTGCATCTGCCTGAGAGGCAAGGAACCAAAAGCCTGCATTTAAATGAGCCTTATCTGTAGAACAGATGTGTACACAACACTCAGGTTCTGAAACAAGACTAAAGTACCGAGGTGGATAGACAACCAAAACTTTCCACCAGAGTTTACAGCCAGTAAATGCAAAGAAGAAGAAATCTGAATTAGATACAGTTGTGGGTCTGTTCGTTAATTATTGAAAAAAAAAAGCAAACTTGTTTTAATATGTTAAACCAGCTACTCGAGAAGCATCGCAATTGTGGCTCAGCTCTGTTTCTTAATAGTTGCTAAAGATTTCTATAGGAAATAGAAGGTTTCACAAGAGATCTGGACACCACCACCTTTTAATGCATTTACCTAGTACATGCAAAGTCTTATCACCTCACCAGTGATTCCATTTACCTTTCACTCGTATCACACAGGTAAAACTTAATTGTCAACATTATCACATATTATCACAAACTGTTATCACATAGTGAAAATCGAGCCATGAATCTGAATCCTGATTCACGGTGAGTTGGTCAGTATTATCATGAGTGTGAACATAAATAAAAAATCTGATAAAAACCAATCTGCATATTATCCAGTGAATATATACATACGAGTATTTCGCTTACACTGCTGAAAAACTGGGGAAAGGGGGGGGGGGGGGGGGGGGGGGGGGGGGGGTATCATTATAAAATCACTGAATGATTTTGGGATACATTTCATGCAAGCAAAAAATTATGAGATGTTGCTAACATAAATAAATAGCTCTGAGATATTGTTAATGTTTAAAAATTAATAACACAACATAATATAATAAAAAAAACAAAAACAATAATATAATACAAATAATAATTTTTTAAATGGCAAGTACTTACTGTTAACAAATAAATGGCTCTGAAATACTGTTAACACAAACAAATGGCACTAAAATACTGTTAACATAAACAAATGGCTCTGAGATAGTGTTAACACAAACAAATGGCTCTGTGATATTGTTAGAATAAGCAAACACCTCTAAGATACTACTAATGAGAATAAATAGATCTGAGATACTGTTAACAAACAGCTCTAAGATACTACTTATGAGAATAAATAGATCTGAGATACTGTTAACAAACACCTCTGAGATACTACTAATGAGAATAAATAGATCTGAGATACTGTTAACAAACACCTCTGAGATACTACTAATGAGAATAAATAGATCTGAGATACTGTTAACAAACAGCTCTGAGATACTGTAAATAAAAATAAATGGATCTGATGCATTGTTAAAATGAGCACAAGCTTACGTTAACAAATTTGCAACAGTGAAAAGGAAAACTCAAACAGAGATAGAAAATAATGTAAAATAGAAAATAATAAAATAAATAACTGGAAATGAAAAAAAAAAAAAAGAACATTAGAACAAATCATCTGAAAAGAATATTTACTAAGGATGAAATGGGAAACAAAAGTGCCATTCCACTCAAGTAAAAAGCCTGAACCATTTCATATAAACAAAAATGAATTTAGTTTGGTCAAATCAAAGATTTGTTTTTAAATATTTATCTCAATTGTTCCATTGATTTAAATGATAGGAAAAAAATCAAACAGAAGACACAGAGATAAATGTCTAAACTTTTGACAAGACAGATAATTAGAACAAGAACACAGGCCTGATCTGCAACTCTGGTAATTTTGTGAGATGATGACCCATTCCTATCTTCATGGAACATGATGATGATGCTAATATTTGCCAAACAATGAATTTGAATATGTTATGCTTATCTGAAGGTATACATTTTTCTGGAAGTCTAAAGGATCAATGGAGTACAAAAGAAAACAAACATGGTAGTGTGAGACTTCTGTTATCTACCGTGTTTCGCCAAAAATAAGACCCACCCCCAATACTAAACCCTAGGATGATTTTCAGGAAGGTTTTAATATAAGCCCCGCCCCCCCAAAAAATTGTGCCCTTAATAAGACCATCAGCTAGAATGAGAGACTTGTTACCGAATGGCCAGTCAAAGTACAGACACTGCTGGTTCGCGCCTGATAATGAACGGATGTGGGATAAAACTACTAACAGCTGTGTTCCTAATGCACCTGTTCAACAGTCTAAAATAGTTATATTGAGACACTCTCTAGCTATACTGTTGCTTTCCTGTGTGGGTAGGAGAAGTGGGCGGGAATGGCTGATCTTGAGTATGTGGTCAGTTGGTAACATTCTGACTAGTTTTTTGCACTATAAAAGATAATAGTTATTTAACTGAAATATCCTTTCTATAACATTTACATTTTAACCATTTTCACTCCATGATTGCTTAAAAAAAGGAGTCATAAACTCATTGGAATTCTGGGAAAGATCTTTTAAACAAGAAAAACATTTTACACAGGCCATAAAATTTTTTTTCAATAATTTATTTTTCAACATTTAAATTGTTTGTGAAATAAAAAAAAAAAGACTGATAAAAGGGGTAATGTTTTGAACACAAACAGAGTGAAGCATTGAGCAGAATACATTCCCCGGGGCCTGCAAAAACAACATTGATCAGGATACTCATGCTGTGACCCCGTGACCTCTATCACTAAGGCTTAGGGAAAAATTAAACATTTATCATCATCATCAGCTGCCTTGCTGACTGGCGTGGGTGATCATACCTCTCCACAATCTGCAATCTCCTGCAGTATGTATCAGTTTGTGTACTGACACACCTCCATGCCATTTATGCGAACGAAAGAAGAAGACCTCCATGCCATGCAACAAGATATCAAGAATCATCTCTTGTTGTCTTCTTATCCCTCCTTCCACAGATCTTTCCAGTGGTCACAACATGTTCCATTTTCCCTCTTCTCATAACATGGCCGAAAAATAATGACTGTCTCCTTCTGATGTCTATGATAAGTTGTCTTCAGGCTCCCGCCTCTTTCAAAACCTTTTGGTTCCTCTTTTTGGAAGTCCAAGGTATTTTAAGCATTCTTTCATAAACCACATCTCTGCGGCCTCAAGAAATTGTTTGGCCTGCCTACTGATTGTCCAGGACTCACAGCCATATTTTAAAACTGGATGTATGTAGCAAGCAAGAATTCTTTTTTTAACCTTCAATGACAGAGATATATTGCATAAGATGTTCTTCATTTTATAAAATGCAGTATTTGCCTATCCTATTCTGCTTCTTATCTCCGTGATGCATCTTCCATCTGATGTTATCTATGTGCCCAGATACTTAAATTTCTGTACTTGTCCCAAAATAACATCACTGACTTTTATTGATAAACTTTTACCTGGTTTAAAAAACAACACTGGGGTCATAAAAACCTGCACCCCTCAAATGCCACTTTTTAGTTAGTATATTATTAGTATATTATGCACACTGCTGAGGTGCATATAGAACTAATGAAAATTAACTATGTTTTTCAAGAACAGGTCGCCTCAGACAGGCTGATACATTGGCATTTATGAGACCGTGTTACAATTGGATGCGACCATATTTAATCTTCTCAAGCTGACAGGGTTAATGATACTGTAAACAGGGCAGAATTCTGGATGTATGTGAAAAGCTATTCTCCAAGATGATTCGTGTAGCTCTCTAGATAGTGACATCATTCTTACCAAAAAGCCGTCAGTAATGTCAGGGACACAACTTCTTGTTCTTGTTGATGACAGTTGAAGGGTTGAGCAATCTGTGATTATCACAATTAGTGGCAGTTTGTAGACTAACAACAAAATTGTTTCTCTTTGATAAATCAATAGCCAATGGTTTATGTGTACCCCCCTTCTCTCTTATTTGTTTCAGTTTGACACCATTTTTATTCACCGGTTTTCTTTGGTCAACCTCTTTCTAGCCATCATTCTAGGGCCCAACACTCTTGTTTCTGTAAACATAAATTAACTAAAAAAATCTATGCACAAAGTTGAAATTCCTATAAACTGTCAATAAAAGTTATTAATCTCGTTTGACTTTTCAATGAACATTTTGGTTGTGTATTTCATCATTTCAAATGTAATAAATGTGTACTCATACACAAATGTCTGTCTCTATGCAAGTAGTCCACATGTACACAAACAAAGTCTGTATGTACACAAACTTCTTAAGCTGTGCTGAACTAGCAAGGTGAGTAATATCACTAAGGTTTGTGAATAAAAAAACTGACCAGAGCTGAGCTACCAGACTGAACTAATTTCACATTTTGAAGACCATATACACGAGTCACATCCTGAAATGAAAGCAGTGAAATAAATTACCAAATTAAAAAATACGGAATACAGACAAGGAGTAAATTAAACAATAAATAAGCAAAGACAATCTGAAAATACAAAATAATATTTATTGAAACAATAGATCTTGCAAAAAGTGTTTAAAAAAAATGGTGGAACTCTAACAACTGGAATTCAAAGCCCATTTTGGAACGGATTGTGCTTGAATTTTGAGGTACTTCTGTATTGTCATCAGCTCAGGACTCTAGCACACTTATAGATAAGTGTAGGATACATTCATCTGTCATCAGCTCAGCACTCTAGCACACTTATAGATAAGTGTAGGATACATTCATTTGTCATCAGCTCAGCACTCTAGCACACTTATAGATAAGTGTAGGATACATTCATTTGTCATCAGCTCAGCACTCTAGCACACTTATAGATAAGTGTAGGATACATTCATTTGTCATCAGCTCAGCACTCTAGCACACTTATAGATAAGTGTAGGATACATTCATTTGTCATCAGCTCAGCACTCTAGCACACTTATAGATAAGTGTAGGATACATTCATTTGTCATCAGCTCAGCACTCTAGCACACTTATAGATAAGTGTAGGATACATTCATTTGTCATCAGCTCAGCACTCTAGCACACTTATAGATAAGTGTAGGATACATTCATTTGTCATCAGCTCAGCACTCTAGCACACTTATAGATAAGTGTAGGATACATTCATTTGTCATCAGCTCAGCACTCTAGCACACTTATAGATAAGTGTAGGATACATTCATTGTCACCGAAACAGTTATGGACTGGAAATAGGCAGTCTAGTCGCACAACGGCTTAATAAAATGTCTAACATCCATTCTTGTTAAATGCTGTCAAGACTTTTATGTTGATTTAATTCATTTAAGTGAAAAAAAAAAAACAAAAAAAAACTGTAAAATAATATCATAAATAAGAAGTTCAATAAGAAGTTCAAAGGATGTAATTACCTAGATTTATATCCACTCCAACCTTTTTTTCTGGTCATATCGCACACACACCATTTTTTTGCTGGCTACAGACCTGGCCTCACCTGCAAAAGGGAAAAAAATATGACTTGAATTTGATAAGTAAAGTAAAGATCCCTTTTCACGCCTTTAGGCACATCGGGCATGGGAAGAGCATCCATATTTTTACAGACCAATCAGCACTAGTAGGGTAAAATGGTCAGCATTATGCCAACCGTCTTTACTTCCCAAGGACATACATCCTGCTACCCATTTTAGGCTGGGTCAACCTGCGACACTCCCACATTACGATAAAAATCCACACAGCCAGCAGTGGGTTTCGATCGTGGTGTGCTGGAATTACGAGTCGGATTTGCAACGCCTAAGCCACGGAAATTTGATAAGAGAGAACATATATCATTTAATTAGAAGAACATATGTGATAAGAAACCCAACTTCTACTGTGAGAAAAACAATTCCAACTTTTATAAGAAAAATGTGCAATGTAAAAAGATTATACAAGATTAAACGGAAGGTGAACTTCTCATTCAATAAACACAAAATGTAATTATGATTTAAATATAAATAAAAAATTATTGAAAAGGACAGAGAAAAGTATGACCATTATAATAACAGGAACACAAAAAATATACATTTCTTCTTTTTCAAGTTGGCTGGTTGTAAACTCTGGCAGAAAATTCTGGTTGTTCATCTACTTCTGGACTTCAGTTTTGTTTTGGAACTTGAGTGCATATTTGTTGTATAAATCTGGCTTATGTAAATAAATGCAGACTGTTGGTTCCTTGCCTCTCAGGCAGATGCACTCTGACTTCAAAGGAAGCCTTAATTAGTATAGTTTTACAACATGCTTGTTAACGGGCTGTAGATTTATTCCCCCCCCCTTCCTCTTTGAGGCCCCAGAACCCATGCTGGAAAAACGTGACTCAGTAAGTGCTGTGGGATAATGTAAAGAAATAAATCGATAGTTTAAAAATTAGCAGCATATCCTTTACAGGACATTCCATTACCAATTCAAGCATTTTTTGGCTGTTGTGGTTTTTCTAGGCAAATGCTACCAGTAGTTTGCCATTGCTGTCTGAACGGTCAGCTTTTGGTACCACTGTAGAAACCAATGCAAGATAGTCTGCTGCCAAATCACCTGCAGCTGGGATTGAACCTGCAACGCCTAAGCCACAGACACTGACAAATCAATAGTAAGAAAGTCTAACTCATGATTTAACAAGACGTTAATTCTTAGTATACATCCCCCCCCCCCCCCCCACCTTTTTTCACCCTAAAAATTAATTTTTTAAAAGTTCAATTTTAAAGTAAATGTTGGTCACTATTGGGAACTCTCAATTCTTATCCAGTCTTTTCTTTGGGGTATGCTCAATTCTTATCCAGTCTTTTCTTTGGGTATGTAGGTGTGTTGGGAAACAAACAGTAAGATGTATTAGATGTACTGTGTGGTCAACTGATGCAGGTGTGTTGGGAAACAAACAGTAAGATGTATAAGATGTACTGTGTGGTCAACTGATGCAGGTGTGTTGGGAAACAAACAGTAAGATGTATAAGATGTACTGTGTGGTCAACTGATGCAGGTGTGTTGGGAAACAAACAGTAAGATGTATTAGATGTACTGTGTGGTCAACTGATGCAGGTGTGTTGGGAAACAAACAGTAAGATGTATTAGATGTACTGTGTGGTCAACTGATGCAGGGGAAGCTAGATGGGGGTCAAGGCCCTTTGGGAGCCAGTGAACAATATGGAAGCAAGGATAGACCATTACAGTCTGGAGAGAATGGTGCATCGGGAAGTGAACCTAAGATCTGACTAACACTCTTCACTCACAGAAAAAGCAAAAAGGACATATAATCAACTAGCTAATAGTACCATTGTCACTGAAATTCTTTGCTAAATGCTGAAGGTGGGGACAGAGTGCTTATGGGAATATTATGAGTGCTGTGATTTCAGATCTTGACTCATTTCAACCTATTCCATGTGATGATTGATACAATACAAACTGTGACTAGAAAGCTCAATGGAGGAATGGAAAAAAACGAACAACAAATAAAACTAAGCATTCGACCAGGGTCTTTATCAACAAAGCCCTAAATACACCACAGACTGTGAGTGGAAAACTCAACGGACAAAGCAACAGAGCTTCTAAAAAATCAAAGTTGACATGAAACCAAGAAAATCATTACAGGGAGAAAATATGGCTACATTACAAAACAAAATAAGTAGGACGGCGTAAGAAAAAAGAGGAGAAGAAATATGAACAAACTAAACAAAAAAGTTAATTACTAGTAAGTAAAAAAAAAGTAAAGATCCCTTTTCATGCCTTTCGGCGCATCGGGCAAATGGGCAGAGCGTCCCATATTTTTACAGACCATCAGCACTCTGTGGGTAATGTGGTCAGCATTACGCCGGCTGTCTTTACTTTCCCAGGACAGCCCATCCTGGTACCCATTTTAGGCTGGGTCGACCTGCGATGTCCCATACCACGACAAAAATTTAATATAATTAAATAAAGCTGTGTTGAATGTGGGCAACTTTCCCTCATCAAATAAACATATATCATAAACCACTGAAGCACTACCCAGTCAACAACAGAGGGAAAACACACATACAAACCCTGAGTTTCCCAGACAAAACAGGAATTCTAGGACTCATGGAAGGTGTCACAGGTGATGTATCTCCACTATCAGTACAGAATCCACTCTGCAGATTAACCCCAGCCATATCTTGCTCTACATCTCTATGTCTTGCATGACTGATACCTTCACTTGGATCTGTAAAACATCAATGTTAACCCCTATTAAAAACATCAATGTTAACCCCTATTAAAACATCAATGTTAACCTCTATTAAAAACATCAATGTTAACCTCTATTAAAAACATAAATGCTAACCCCTATTAAAAACATCATTGTTAACCTCTACTATCTCCTAAAGTATTGTGGGATAGTTCCATTTTTGTGTGTGTGGATTATTCAGTTTAATTTATGGCTGTAGTTTATATTTTGCAAACTAATGAACGTAAAATTTGCCTAGAGAAACCACAACAGCCAAAAAATGTTGGGGTTGGTTCTGAAACATCCTGTAAAGGATACACAACTAACTTTTTTAAAGTTTATATTTAGTTTTTTCCATCATTTGTTTTTCTCAAAACTATACTGATCTTCTTATTCTTCGCGTTCACCAGCTGCAAACTCTGGCGGAAAGTTCTGGTTGCTCGTCCACTACTGAACTGCAGTCCTGCTCCAGAACCGGAGTGTTGCGTGTGCATCAGTTTTACAGATCTCATTCTCTTGAATACAGACTGTTGGTTCCTTGACTCTCCGGCAGGTGCACTCCGACTTCAAAGGAAGCTCCCCAATTAGTCGACTCTTACGACATGCTTTTGGGGAGGCAATGCTGTATAATGAAAATATACTTGGGCCCCACGACATATTCTGTCATAGTTGTGTGAATTCTGGGGCCTTTCTACACATCTAGGCCATAGCATATAATGTAGGGGACAGGGAGTTGGGGAGAAAGGGGGGGGGGGGGGGGAGTTCTGTTCCTCAACACACTATCTTCCAAGGAAATAATATCTGGCACTCATTTTTTTAAAAACTGGAACAAAGTCTTTTTTAAAGGTTCTTTTAACGATTACTGACATTTCAAAACGGGAACCTTTAACTCTTTTAGCTCTTAAACTCGTATGTAAATGTCTTGTTCTAGCATGTCAAGTAGAAGCTCGTCAAAAAGTTTTAGAAACTTATTTTTGGGGGTGATACATTTGGTCATGGTTTGACTGACAATTTGACATGTGGCCCGGAACATGCTCTATGACCTTTGACATGCAATCTATAATTGGCTGTGGCCTGAAACATGCTCTATGACCTTTAACCTACAACCTATAGTTGACCTAGAACATGCAAATGGCCAGAAGTGGTTGGTAAAGATACTGGAACATAATTTTATTTCATCTGGACAAGTTGAGTTTCAACTACTGCAAACACCCTAAATGGCTTTTAGCAAATGGGATCTGATCTGTGTAAGTAAAGGGCCCTTTTTCACGCCTTCAGAGCGTTGGGCAAATAGGGCTGGACCTATATTTTATAGACCAATCAGCATTTGATGGGTGATGTGATCAGCATCACTCTGGCCGCCTTTATTTCCCAGGACTTTTACCTGGTATCTTTTTAAGGTTAGGTCAACCCGGCAACCAAAGTCATTTAACAAAAAAAGTCCAGAACTGACCGGGTCTGAGCCCATGACTTTTGATCTGTAGGTGAGAGTCTTGCTGCTGCACCACAGTGGCTCGCATGTTTGATTAACGAGCCACACTTTTAAGTAATAATAATAAAAATAAAATCACTGTAATCTTTAGTTTTGGAAGAAGTTATGTCGGCAACTTTCAGAAAAACCTACATTAATTACAATCAGTACAGAAAACATAACATAAAAATAGTCATAAATACTAAACATAACATAAAAATAGTCATAAATACTAAACATAACCTTAAAAATAGTCATAAATACCAAACATAACATAAAAATAGTCATAAATACTAAATATAACATAAAAATAGTCATAAATACTAAACATAACATAAAAATAGTCACAAATACTAAACATAACATAAAAATAGTCATAAATACTAAACATAAAAAAATAGTCATAAATGCTAAACATTAAAATAGTCATAAATACTGTACATAACATAAAAATAGTCATAAATACTAAACACAATGTAAACAGTGGCACTGAAGGCTGGATAACAAACCAAATATGAAAAACAGTACAGTCAAAACAACCAAATCAAACTAATATGGAATTCATGAAATTGAGACGGAAGAAATACATCAGAAGATACCAATTAAACAAAAGGGTCAACACAATTCCTGGCGATAAATAAGTATAAAAAGACAATTATAGTCTATTAGAAGCAATTTAAAAAATAAATCAAACTTTCAGGTTGTAGCCAGGAGGAAAACAAGCAGATAAATAGACAGACATGTTTTTCAGCCAGTTAGGAAAAAAAAAAAAAAACCCACCAATCCTCAAATATTGTAGAATCTCTGTTTGTTCTCAAGGAAACTGTAGGTGGGGGAGGGGGGGGGGGGGGGGGGATTTAATCTGGGTTAGTTTCACTAAAAACTTCCCAAACAAAGTAGGTCACTTTTGATTCACAAGTTTGTTGGGCTGGTTGACTTTCCTGAAGGTTACGGGTGTGTCCTGCTCTGATGTTTGCTTTCTGTCTTGTATTTACATTTTCATTCAGAGAAAGAGAATGCCTGTGACATAGGTTGCAGCACTCTCTAGGGGTTTGTGTTAGGACCAGTTTTTCGAGTGTTAAAAGAGCAGGTGAGCTAAAATATATAACATGCAATACGAACGGCACTGCGAAACACCCCAGTAACCTTGTGCCAAGGTAACAGGTTCAGGAACTACCAATCAGAAGTGAGCTAGTGTGTATATTGGTGGGGCCTGGATAGATCAACGTTACTTTTACCTTAAATCTGTTGCCACCTCTCCTCACTCACCCCAACAAGCATGTCATAAAAGGTGACCAATTAGGGGTTTGCTGAAATTAGATGTGTTGAGGGGCAGCTATCTCACCCTAGCTGTAAACTCCAACGTGCCATGTGTCCTTTCAAATCTTTTCATCCCAAAAAGGTTACCCTTGATGCCCCTGTGAGTCGACTGCGAAATCAACACTGTGGTAATGGCTTCCATAAGTCAAGATTAGTAACACTGTAGCCAACCATGCATGTCATAAGAGGCAACTAAGAAGGGTTGGAATGAGATTGCGTACATTTAAACACACATTTTTTTGGTTATAAATCTTTAGCTGCAGAAAGGAAACAAATGAAAAACAGTTCCACAAAAGACATAACATAGTTTCGTAAAGGGTTTTTGCTCCTTTGGGAGTTAAGGGTTTTTGCTCCTTTGGGAATTAAAAAGTAAAAATAGAAGTCACATCATTAGACATTATTAGTAGCAAATGTCAGGTCGACCCAGCCTCAAATGGATACCAGGATGGCTGTCCTAGGGAAATAAAGACGGCTGGCGTAATCTTCTTCTTCTGCCTTTCTATCCCCCAATGGAGCATAGGCCGTCAACCAACTCACGCCAAGTCATTCTATCCTTCGCCATTGCATGGAGCTCTCCCCATGTCCTCCCAATCTTTCTAACCTCGTTCTCCAGCTCTCTTCTCCATGTGTTTTTTGGGCTTCCTTTATTCCTATGCCCCTGTGGGTTCCAATGCAAAGACATTCTAGTAATGCTGTTCTCCTGTTTTCTCAGTGTGTGCCCTATCCAACGCCAGCGTCTTTTCCTCACTTCCTGATCCACTGGAGCCTGTTTAGTTCTCTCCCAAAGTTCTACATTGTTTTTCTATCATACCATTTTATTCCCTCTATTTTGCGCAGGCACCAGTTAATGAATGTCTGTTTTATTAGTAATTGCCTTGGTTGTTCTCCATGTTTCCGCCCCATACAATAGTACTGATTTGACATTAGAATTAAAAATTTTTAGTTTAGTATTTCTTTTAATTTCTTTTGACCACAAATTCCCTAGTGCTATGAAAACCCCTCTTGCCTTTTGTATTCTTATTTTAATATCTAACAGTTCCTCCATCTTTATCTACATTACTGCCTAAATAGGTGTACGACTCCACGTCTTGGAGTGGGGTGCCATTAAGAGAAACCACATTACTATTCTCCACCTAATGCAGATGGTCTGTAAAAATATGAACGCTCTTCTCATTCCCCCGATATGCCTAAAAGACTTAAAAAGGAGTAGCAAATGTGGAAAGTCGCCTTGGTGTAGTGGCTAGATGTTTGCCTGCAGATTGGAAGGTCATGGGTTCAGGCCCTGATGGAGCCAGGCTGATTAAAAAAATTACTTTGGTTCCCAGGTCGACCTAGTCTTGAGTGGATACAAGGTGCAGTCCTGGGAAGTAAAGGCGGCCGGCGTGATGTTGACCACATCACCCACTGAGTGCTGATTGGTCTATAGAATATAGCTCTAGCCCTATATGCCCAACAGGCCTGAAGGTGCGGAAAAGGATCCTGTACTACTTTACTTTAATAGCAAATTACACACAAAATCCTGTTCAACCTTTAGAGTTATAATTGGGGTATAAAGTTTCATCAAGTTCTCAGCATACATGTTTATTTTATAGATAAGTAAAAAGTAAAGATCCCTTTTCATGCCCTGAGGCGTATCGGGTATATGGAAAGAGATCCCATATTTTTACAGACCAATCGGCACTAGGTGAGTAATGTGGTCAGCATTACACCAGCCGTCTTTACTTTCCCAGGACAGCCATCAGGGTACCCATTTTAGGCTAGGTCAAACTGCGACACTATTTTATATATAGTGTAACTATTTATTTAAGACAATTAAGTAATTTGTATGGTTTCAAATATTGCTCTCTTTAGACTTAGACATCATTAGCTATCATTGACTTATGCAGCATGACAGCTGAAATTAAATACAGTGTTTTTCATAACTAATTTTTGGCTTTATTAAATTGTGAAAAGAGTTAAAGTTAGTTGCGTTGTGTTCTTTACAGGATGTTATAGAACCAACCCCAATATTTTTTGGCTGTTGTGATTTTTCTAGGCAAATTTACATCCTGTAGTTTGCCACAGCTTTCTGGATGGTCAGCTTCTCAATACCACTGATGAAAGCAAGGCAAGGTGCAATGTTGCAGCTGGAATCGAACCCAGCACTACTAAGTGCATTCACAACGGCTATGCCACAGACGCTGACAAGAAAAGAATTAACAGTTCA